ATGTCCTTTTGGATTTTTCGGCGCTAGAGATAAATATGGCGCTGGCAATGTGCATGGTCACATCACACATGTGCCCGTTTTCTGTAGCTGATCTGTGGCTGATGATTAGGTTAGGAAAACTGTCACATCGATGGCATAGATAGAGGACACGTAAGTAATTTTCTTTATAAATCATGAGCATAAATTACAGACGTTTCGACATCATTATTAAATGTAGGAATAACATATTCTAGATATAGTAAGCGTCCCAATGAAATAAAGTAAAGTTGCTTACTATATCTAGAATATGGTTTATACATTTGAAGCAAACACAATAATGATGTCGAAACGTTTGTAATATATACTTATGATTTATAATATATGACATTTTGCAAAAAACATTTTGTGTTGGCTCACATTGGTAATTCTCTCTTAATTGATTTCTGTTATCATGGTGAACATTGTTGTCTTAAATTTACAGGCAAAGAAAAGGAAGGAGAAAGAAGGTGATTAGTTAGAGAATTTCTAATTAATCCGAAACAAGTCGATCGCAGTGACATTGGTGATGATTGTGCTGTGGTGCATCGACGGCCTTTTATGATTTATAAGGTATTAATAAATCGAAGGTTTTTTTCTTTCAATATTTAACAAATAAGTTAAGGAAAAATTGTCAATGTGAGCCAACACATTACACAAGATGTTCCTTTGTGAAATATCTGTCATATATTATAAATCTAAAGTATAAATTACAGACGTTTCAACATTATTATTGTGTCCTCTTTAAATTCTAGATGTAGTAAGAGTCTCAATGAAATAAAGTAAACTTGCTTACTATATCTAGAATATGGTTTATACATTTGAAGCAAACACAACGATGATGTCGAAACGTCTGTAATTTATACTTGTGATTTATAATATATTTACTTAACTCTAATGATATGTATCATGTGTATAAAAGATTCTCTCTATAGTCCAGTCGTCAGAGATCTTACATCTAAAAATGATCCGACCTGGCTGAAATTTTGTGTGAATGTACATTAATAGTCCCCAAAAAAGATGCAAAAAAGTTTACCACTCGTACCCCCGGGCTTCTTCAGAAATTGCCCCCTAAAGGGGGTAAAAAACGGAAAACATCGATTTCCCAGAAATCTGTGAATGGAAAAAAAAAGTTTCAAACAAAAAATGTAGCTGACACGATTTTGAACAAAAAAGTTCCTTACCACTTTCTTTGTAAAGTGAACCATTCTCTCAGAAAAAACGACTCAAATAACGAGTTATTTTGAGTGTCAGTTGCGCGCGAGAAATGAAATATTTGAAAAAAATTTTATCAAGTACGCTGTAAATATTCAATAACTTTTGTTCCCAGTGACCTACAGGGACAAATAAAAACGCATTTTAAAGGGGAAGAGTTCAGCTTTCTGATAGAACAATAATATTTTACCACAAATGAAGTAAGATTGTTCAAATCTGTTAATGAAATGAAGGTTTCGAGGTTATGGCCGTTTTTTTGCCATTTTCCATATATGAATAAAATTTATCAAATCCGATGACAAATATGTATGGAATCTTAATTCTTATAGTACAAACTGCAGTACCTATACTATAAATTTTCGATTTTGATGTTTTGGAAAAAATATGACGAGTTTGAAATATGCC